TCTTTCAAAACATAAAGATTCGCCAAGAAAAATTATAAACATAAATTTTTTTTTTTACTCCACATTTAAGATTAAAGAACACATAATTCATATACCACATTCTAGATCTTTTTTACATCTCTAAGAACTTGTGAATCCGATGGAAGGCTTAGGTGCTGTTTGTTTTTTGGAAAAAACCTCTTCAGACCTCTTATTGCTGCGCGGCGCAGCACACACGCAACACTTTTCATCTCGCAGTTATTTGTTTTTCAGAAGTCTCCGGATTAAAAAACCTCTGCGCGTGCTCTTCTTGGCGCAACACTTGTTTTGCCTCTTCCTACCTCTTCCAACCTCTTCTTCTTCTTTTTTTCTTGATAAAATATTGATTATACATTATTGAAATCTTATTTCACTTTTTTTTTTTGTTTATTCTTGTTGAATTTTTTTTTCTTTTTTTTTTATATTGAATAATAATAATTTGTTGATGAAATATCATTATTTTATGCTAAAATATCTTTATTTTTTTGTTAAAATATCATTATTTTTTGCTGAAATATCATAAATTATTGCCGAAATGTCATACATTATTAAATTTTCGGTATTAAAAAACTATATTCGGATTATAAAATCAGTTTATTTTAATTTTTTAATATCTGCAGCAGTATGCAGATGTTAAAAAAACAAACACGCTTCTTATTACAGTCTGCAGCCGTTTGGTCCACCTCTTGTACTGCAGAGGGCTGCAAAGGTGGTCCGCAGACTTTATGAATTTTTGCTTCAAAAAAACAAACAGCACCTTAAACTCGATAGCTTCTACTTGAATTTGATGATTCAACAACAAAAAAGTAAACAATAATTCAGTAATGTTAAAAAAATAATTCTAAAAACTTGTGAATCATAAATGTTAAGAAATAATTCAGCGACAAGAAATGATCATTAATTTCACAATCTCAAATGATTTCAGAAATCAACAATAATTTAAAATGAAAGAAATTATATATTAGCAACATTTAGAAAGAAAGAAATCAGGTTGCACAAACAAATGATTTCATAAAGAAAAATCATAGTTTACAAACGATTTCAGAAATAAAAATCAAAAATTTGTCTGGTATTAGTAAGGACTATGATGTAGTCAGTGACTATAAGAAAGGCCTATGGCGGTGGAGACGACTCCAGGGAAGGATGAAGACAACTATATAATTGTAGCTTCAGGGGAAGGTGGAAGATGGTGGCCGAATGGTGGTGAGGGTGGATGCGGATGGCAGACTAGGTATTTTTAGGGGATGTAGAGACTGGTTGCGGAAGTGTGATTCTTAAAGAAAGAAGGGTAGTACGTGTAATTTCGCAGCTCTCTTAATGGTTTAGAGGGAGCTTTTAGCTAAATAGTACAAATGCTTATGACCAATTTACATGCTCAAATTTAACAAATCAAATGTTGTTAATGGTTGAACCATTTAGAGGTTGCCTCTGAATGAAACATGAACATAACCTAAATGAGAATGCGATAAATACAAATAAGAAATCATAATAACTCGAACCATATGATTAGGAAACAAATTACGAAGTGGAAACGAATGATGAGATGTAAATGAATACAAGATCTGTAAGGAAGATGATATACCTGATTGGAAAATACAAACCTTTATGTGAAGATTTTGATATAACCTAGGTTATGGGTGCAAGAAATTGATGGGAACTTCTTAGATGTGGGGACAATTCTTTATAACATAACCCTAATGCATATTAATTTTACTATGTAACTGAACAATAATTGAATTAAGGGAATCATCTTCAGTTAGCCATGGTGACAACTGAAATCAGATAAAGAATGCAAGAATCCATGAAGTGATGTAATTGTAAAATCCATCAACATTGACTAAAGAAATTAGACGAAATTAATCAATATAAAAACTTTTTCTCTCAACACATTAATATTCATGAATGATACATTTTGATACCATGAAAACTAACTCACAAAATAATTAGGATTTTGTTATTATGGAAAACATACATTGCAATGAGTAGTAAATGAGAAATATAGAAGAAGCAACTCTGAAAATAAAGCTAAATAAAAGACTATTATATTCCTACACTAATTTCGACATTAGTATGAATAAATGCTAAAAACGAATAAAATCAATGAAAATAAAGTGAAGTAAAAGTTTTCTGAAAATCAGTAACAAAGACATATGTGATAAGTAAGATGATGCATCCAACTTACCCCTTTTAAACAAATACTATTTATTTAGCTTGTTTGTGTGCCTTTCTAGCAGTTGCATTTATATCATATAGATGAAGACCATATTCTACTAACAAAGGGAAATTTCTTGAAATATAGGAGATAATTGATACTTTTGATAGTATGATGAGAGAATTGTTTTCATACGACTTGTATGTCTAACAATAACATGTCCATTGTTTTGATATTTATATAAAAAAATAATATTTTATTATGGAGAGTTTACTTGGGCTTGTATTGTCATATGAAAATCTTGATTTTAGGTCAATTCATAGCCAAAGGTATGGTACAATTAATATGTGAGGCCATTTCAAGGGTTTACAAAAATTAATTTTACATATGTGCGTTTATGTGTACTATGTTCATTGCTCTAATCACCAATTGTAATTAGGCAATTAGCATTAAGTGCTACTACACAAGGAGTTATTGCATTTTGAAAGTTTTTTTTTCCGCAAGTGTCATTTGGTAACAATTTTATTGTTGTTTCCTCCAAACGTACTAACCAACTAAGAGATAAACAAATGAGAAAATTAAATATTTGATTTATATTGCTGAGTTAGACACAAGTATAGTTCTTAATCAGTATGGTACATTAAAACTATAGGGGATATTCGATTACGTTCTCATCTTAAAGAGCCTCGAGCTTAATTAAGAATTTACTAAGACTTGTGAGGTTTTACTCAAAATTCTTGAGGAAGGCACTAGTTTGATTAAATAAGATGAAGAATTAACATTTGAGATTATTACCAAGTTCATTTTTATTTTGCATCTTCAGAAAGGAGTAGTGGAGATCATTGATTTACTTTAATTAAGCTTTATAAAGACAATATCGAGATATTTCAATACATTGAGAGTAGCTACATCCATGAAAGTGCTACTACAAAAATGAAAGATTGAAGATTAGATTATTTACTTTGTTAAGTCTTAAGTTATGTACATGATATCGGTATCTATAATTTGTGGTCTTCCCACTTTAGTGTAGGGGTGAGCAAAAACCGAACCACAAACCGAAAAAACCGCATAAACCGAAACCGAAATGAAAACCGACGGTGCTGTTTTTAGTTTTGCAAAAACCGAAAATGTTCGGTGCGGTGCGGTTTCTAGTCTTACAAAAACCGCAAAAAACCGAACCGCATCGAACATATATATATATATATATATATATATATATATATATATATATATATATATATATATATATATATATATAATATATATATATATATATAAGTATTGATATTTGTAAGAACTAACAACTCATGACAATTAAAAATCTATAAATATAAATATCTATCTTATCAGAAGATGATTGTATATTTTTAAGCATATGTATAGTGATATTTACAAGAACAAATAATGTTTATTACATTTTTTAACATTTAAATATGAAGAATACTAGTGACGATAATATCATTTTTATTAATACATAAATTGATATTATCGCCTTCATAAATATTATATTTAATTTGTATTATATTCAAGCATTAGAAGATGTTGGATGAGTGGTTATGTTCTTTGATTTTAAACCAATAGGTGGTGGTATCAGTTCATCTCCAAGATATCATTTGAGCTTTAATTTTGTCAGCCTTATAAGAGTATCCCTGATCACCTTTGAGATAAAACTTTCATCATTCTCACATTTCATATAAGAGAGTCAATCTGACGCTCCTCATCTCTATATAAAGTTTCTCAAGAAATGATTAACACTCCTCATCTGAGTCAAAGTAACTCGTTGAGTTGCTGAGTTTTATTAAAAAAGCCAAACAAAAACCAAATAAAATAATTGACAAAAAACCGCAAAAAAACCGCAAAAACCGAACCGCATAAAACCGAATGGTGCGGTTTCTAAACTTCAAAAAACCGAAGTTGCGGTTTTTGGTACGGTTTTGGCCAAAAACCGCACCACGCTCGCCCCTACTTTAGTGGAAAGGGTCGAACTCATAAGGATCATAACTATAATACCTTTGAACGTCATTATCTAGTCGATATGTTTAAAGCAATTAAATGTCAGTTAGTAGAATTTGATCATTGGTTCAGTAACAGCTCGATTTAGTTGCTTCATATTTTACTATTTCATCAACTTTAAAATTGGTAATGTATGAAATTAGGAGAGAATATGGAGGTTGAACACATGCTCTATTAAAGAGTATAATATTACACAAATAAAATTAACTAACAATCACCTAAATAGAATGGTACATTTTCCATGATTTCTATGACATACTGACACGTATGATATGTCATTTATAGGTTTGTCCAACCAAACCAATTGTCTTCTATACATCTACTGTAAGAGAAATTAAATATCGTCCTACTTTTACTCTACTTATCCTCTTACCCATGTGAAATAATGACAAGTGTCTTAAAATATAATAATTTTATCAAAATATGACACTTGTCACCATTTCACATTGGTATGAGGATAAGTATGAAAATATAGGAATATATTTATGTTATGTCTCGGCGTTTTGACAAGGTTTACAGGAGGAGATAAGGATAAAAGAGAATTAAAGAGTTTTTTCTTATTAAAGAGTTTTTTGTAGGATAAGTCTAAATACTTTTGATTAGGTTGAATAGTTATCACGTGGTTTTGGATTTGTTTGCTGTTTGTTAGCATGACCCTATTTAAAGTGTTTCATCGTTTATTTTAGGATTTTATGCAATTAATAAACTGCCAAAAGGTTCTGGAGTTTGCCTGTAAGCTCGAAATTGCAGGAAGGGTTCTTGGGTCTTGACCCAAGTTCTTATTATTTGGTATCAGAGCTTCACGGTTCTGGTCCAGATGTCGGACAAACTGGAGGGAAAGGGCACTAATGCCGAGCGACTGGCTGCTTTAGAAGGGGCTGTCAATCACATGCTCGACTCCACTGAAGCGCATCGCGTGGAGGTGGCGGTACAGATGCAAGAACTCACTAAGGCCGTATCTGATCTCATTCAAGCGGTCAAGAAACCAGGAAAGAAGGGCGGAAAGGCCAACTATAGCTCGTTTGACGATTCTGGGGACGATGATGGGGACGAAGAGGATGATCCCGACGATTCTGATAAAAGCTCAAATTCCGACAATTCCAAACGATCTAAGAAGAAGCATCGGAAGCGGAATCCCTTGCTCGACTGCCGGAAACTGAAGATTCCGATTTTCAGTGGAGAAGACGTGCATGGGTGGATCTACAAGGTCGAAAGATACTTTGAAATTCATAAGTTTGGCAAGAAAGATCAGTTACGGGCGGTGGCCATTTGCTTGGAAGGGGCTCCATTAACATGGTTCAGGTGGAACAATGCAAAGAAGCCGTTCCAGTCGTGGGGAAGATTCAAACGCAAGTTGTTGGAGCGCTTTCAAGCGTCGCGGGAAGGCAGTGTCCAAGAACAATTCTTGGATATCCAACAAACAGGAACTGTCCGGGAATACGTGGAACGGTTCGAGGCCTTTGCGGGGCAACTCGTGGATGTCTTAGAGTCGATTCAAGAGAGCACTTTCATTAAGGGATTAAAAGAAGGGGTTAGGTCGGCGGTTCGAATAGCAGAACCTGAGTCTTTGGCTCAAGCCATCCGTATGGCTATTCGGATAGACGAAAACACGACAGGAGGATCAAGCCGGAGTGGAGTAAGTGCTGGTCCTCCAAAGATGGGTCAGGGGTTCCAAGCAAAGACCAATACTACCGTTCCAGTAGCTCAGGTGAAGCGAGAAAATGGTAGCCCAAGTACGTTCAAGCGTCTTACTCAGACTGAACTCGCGGAGAAACGGACACAGGGTTTGTGTTTTAGGTGCGATGGCAAGTTTGCACCTGGGCACAAATGTCCCAGCAAGACGTTGCAGGTCCTGATTGTGGACGAGGAGGACGACAAGAGAACCAACTTAGAACATGCCCACTTCGACATGGCTGAGGTATCCCTTAATGCGATCAACGGTTTGACGCCCCCTCGGACGATGAAAGTGAGGGGTGACGTGGGGGGATTAGAGGTGATTGTGCTGATTGATAGCGGGGCTACGCATAATTTTCTGTCGACACGAATTATTAGTCAGTTGGGAATTACTTTGGGGGGTGACAGATCTGTTGGAGTCAAGATGGGTAATGGGCTGATGGTTAGGAGTCAAGGGGTTTGTAGAGGTGTTGTTCTTAACTTACCAGAGGTGCAGGTGGTGAGTGATTTCCTTCCGTTCGACATTGGGGGTTCTGATATCATCCTTGGTATCCAGTGGTTACGTACTTTGGGAGACATGACCGTTAATTGGGAGGAGCTATGGATGCAATACTGGGATGGAGATCGGTTAGTGAGGATTGTAGGTGACCCAACTCTTTCGAAATCCTTAGCTTCTTGCAAGACTCTTTGCAAAATGTTACAACAGGAGGTAGAGGGTTTTTTGGTACATTTGACTGCCAAATCAGATGCAGAAGACCCACTAGCGGTACCGGCTAAAATTCAAGCTATTATCGATGCATATCAGGATGTGTTTAACATGCCGAGTGGTTTGCCGCCCAATCGTAGCATCACCCTTCAAGAGGGAACTTCTCCGGTCAGTGTGCGACCCTATCGTTACCTACATGCTCAGAAGGATGAAATCGAGAGACTCGTGGGAGAGATGCTAAGTGCCGGGATTATTCAAACAAGCATGAGTCCGTTCTCCAGTCTGGTTCTTCTCGTGAAGAAAAAAGATGGGAGTTGGCGGTTTTGTGTTGATTACCGCGCGCTAAACAAAGTCACGGTGTTAGATAAATTCCCAATTCCAGTTATTGATGAGTTATTAGACGAGCTTCACGGGGCGACCGTGTTTTCGAAACTCGACTTAAAAGCGGGTTACCATCAGATTCGAATGAAGACGGGAGATATTCCAAAAACAGCATTTAGGACCCACGAGGGCCATTACGAGTTTTTGGTAATGCCCTTTGGGTTGACTAATGCACCGACTACTTTCCAGTCTCTAATGAACAAGGTTTTCCGTCCATTCTTGCGACAATTTGTATTGGTGTTTTTCGATGACATACTCATTTACAGTAAAACTGAGCAAGAGCACGTGGAACATCTGAAGAAAGTGCTCGACTTGTTGCGTGAACACCAATTATATGCCAATAAAAAGAAGTGTTTTTTTGGTCAGGAGCGGGTCGAGTATTTGGGTCATATAGTGTCAAGGGAGGGGGTGGCAGCGGACCCAGCTAAAGTTGAAGCCATGTTAACCTGGCCTTTACCTAGAACGCTTCGCGAGCTTCGGGGATTTTTGGGTTTAATGGGCTATTACCGTAAGTTCGTTAAGAATTATGGGAAGATTGCTTGGCCGTTAACTGAACAGCTTAAAAAAGACAATTTTAAGTGGACGGAAGAAGCCTCGGAAGCGTTTCGGAAGCTTCAGAAGGCGTTGACTGAGGTTCCGGTTCTTGCTTTGCCCGACTTTAACAAGGAATTTATTATTGAAACTGACGCGTCGGGATACGGTTTGGGAGCTGTGTTGTTGCAAGAAGGAAGACCGTTAGCATTTTTTAGCCATATTTTGGGAACGCGGGCCCGTTTGAAGTCTGTGTACGAGCGGGAGCTTATGGCTATTGTGCTTGCGATACAAAAGTGGCGTCCGTATTTGTTGGGAAGATGTTTCAGGATACGAACGGATCAAAGAAGTTTGAAATATTTGTTAGAACAACGTACTGTAACAGAAGATCATCATAAGTGGTTGTCGAAATTATTGGATTATAAGTTTGTGGTTGAATATAGGCCAGCTAAGGATAACAATGTGGCAGACGCTCTGTCGAGACGTGCGGGGGCTCCACAGTTGTCGGCATTGGCAGCCACGAGTCTAGTTGATTGGGAGGGTTTATGGAAGGAAATTGATGAGAATGAAGAATTGGGCACTATTAGGCGACAGCTACTTAATGGCGAAACTATGGCAGGTTATACTTTGGTGCGAAATAGATTGTTGTTTAAAGGAAGGCTGGTGTTACCAAGTGACTCGGTATGGATACCGGTCGTGTTCAAAGAATTTCATGCGAGTACTGTAGGAGGGCACTCCGGTGTTCAAAAGACCTACCAGCGGCTTGCGCGAGAGGTCTTTTGGAAGGGCATGAAGGGGGAGGTGGCTAGGAGGGTGGCGGAATGTGATGTGTGTCAGCGACATAAGTACTCTACCTTGGCACCAGGTGGGCTGTTGCAACCCTTGGAGTTACCGAGCAAAGTATGGTCTGAACTTACCATGGATTTCATTGAAGGGCTGCCGCGTTCCGAAGGGTATACAATAATTTTTGTTGTTGTAGATCGTCTAAGCAAGTATGCCCACTTTATATCCTTAAAGCATCCCTATACCGCAGTCACAGTAGCTACTGTGTTCCTTAAAGAAGTGGTTCGGCTTCACGAAATTCCTGAATCAATTGTGTCAGACCGGGATAAAAATTTTTAAGTCAATTTTGGAAGGAGTTGTTTAAATGGCAGGGTACAACAGTGAAGCGAAGCACAACCTACCATCCTCAAACAGATGGGCAAACTGAGGTGGTGAATCGTTGCTTGGAGATGTACCTGCGTTGTTTCATGGCGGATTCTCCTCGGAAATGGGTGTCTTGGCTGTCTTGGGCGGAATACTGGTATAATACTTCCTTTCACACTTCCACTAAGACAACACCTTTTCGGGTTTTGTATGGAAGGGATCCCCCACACTTGTTATATTATGGGCAAAATGGGTCTCCAGTGGGTTCTGTTGATCAATATTTGGAAGAGCGGGACTGGATTCTCCAAGAGTTGCGGGGGTATTTACTGAAAGCTCAACAGGCTATGAAAATGCAAGCAGATAAGCATAGGCGGCAGCTGTTTTTTGAAGTGGGCGATTGGGTGTATTTGAAGCTCAAGCCATATCGGCAACATACAGTGGCTAAAAGACGGAATGAGAAACTGGCACCTCGTTTCTTTGGACCTTTCCGTGTGTTAGAAAAAATTGGGCAGGTTGCGTATCGGCTGCAATTGCCTGAGACGTCCCGCATTCATAACGTTTTTCATGTTTCGCAGTTAAGAAAAGCTATTGGGGATCGTACAGCCACTCCGAGTTTGCCAGCTACATTAACGGAGGATATGGAAGTCTTGCTTCAACCGGGGCAGGTGGAGGGAGTACGCGAAGGGGTGGCTGGGAAAGAGGTGTTGATTCGTTGGAAAGACTTGTCGGAGTATGAGGCTACGTGGGAGCTTCTAGAAACATTGGATAAGCAGTTTCCCGATTTCAACCTTGTGGACAAGGTTTTGCTTTGGGAGGGGAGTAATGTTATGTCTCGGCGTTTTGGCAAGGTTTACAGGAGGAGATAAGGATAAAAGAGAATTAAAGAGTTTTTCTTATTAAAGAGTTTTTTTTAGGATAAGTCTAAATACTTTTGATTAGGTTGAATAGTTATCACGTGGTTTTGGATTTGTTTGCTGTTTGTTAGCATGACCCTATTTAAAGTGTTTCATAGTTTATTTTAGGATTTTATGCAATTAATAAACTGCCGAAAGGTTCTGGAGTTTGCCTGTAAGCTCGAAATTGCAGGAAGGGTTCTTGGGTCTTGACCCAAGTTCTTATTAATTTAATTTCTCCTCCAATAAAAAACTCATTATTGGTTTGATAGTAATAATGCCCTCAATATATAAATGACCATGCGCACGATACTCGTAAGTCGAAAACCAACCTTCATTATCAATGGAAGAGAGTAAGATGTTGTTTGTTTTTGGTAAAAAAAACCTCTTCAGACCTCTTATGGTTACGCGGCGTAGCACACGCGCATCACTTTTCATCCCGCAACTGTTTGTTTTTTAGAAGTCTTCGGAGTAAAAAACTTATGTACGTGTTCTGTTTGGGACAGCACTTGTATTGCCCCTTCCAACCTCCTCTTCTTTTTTTCTTGCTGAAATCTTGATTATATGTTGTTGAAATCTTGTTGAATTATTGTTTCACCTTCTTTTTTTTTTCTTTTTTTTTTCTGTTTATTCTTGCTAAATGATTTTTTCGGTTTTTATATTGAATAATGATAATTTCTTGCTGAAATATCATTATTTTTTTGTTGAAATATCATTATTTTTTTTGCTGAAATATCATAAATTCTTGCTAAAATGTCATACATTATTTTCAGTATTAAAAAACTATTTTCGTTATATAAAATCAGTTTATTTTATTTTTTAATATTTGCAGCAGCATGTAGATATTAAAAAACAAACACGTTTCTTATTACAGTCTGTAGCCGTTTGCTCCACCTCTTCTGCTGCAGATGGTTGTAGAGGTGGTCGACAGACTTCATGCATTTTTGTTTCAAAAAAAACAAACAGCACCTAAGAGTGTTTATTGTTGGTGATTTTAGTGTTATTAATATAATTTGGTGTAATTATTATTAATAATGAGATAGGTCGAGTTCAATTTACTAACTGAGCTTGGAGGTGTGGGATGCACACTCGGTGTGATAAATGTGAATTCGGGAATACAGGGGTCCGGGGGCATCACCCCGAAACCTAAACGGATTTTTGTATCAAGTGAGACTCCAACCATGTATTTACCTGCCAAAAACCCACTAATGACATCATGATGATGTAGGTATCTGTTGTGTCCAATAACTACCATGTTTTGGCGTTATTTTTTGTTTAACCGATTTTAACCACTTTTCCTTCAAGTATAAATCAGATGTGGATGTTCTAGAAAAAAGGTTGAACATTCATATACTCGAAATTATATCATAATTTCTCTCTCTCTCCTGAACACATCAAGCAAAGTATTATGTGTTTCCAATTCGAATTAGGCCTGTAATTCAAATTGGTTAATTCTTGGATTATCCGACTTCTAAATTCGTGTACCCCAGGCAAAAGGGACAAATTTAAGATTTCGGAAAGTGTTTCATAAACACGATCCTTAAAGCTATCCAAGTTTATATTTATTGTTATTTTGTTCCCTTATTTTCAAACATTTATTTGGGTTTACTTAGAGCAATTTCAACATTTCCCTTTAAAAAACAATAAATTGGTGTATTTTTAACATCAAAACATATTTTGGTGTGATGAATACGAACAATATTACACCAAATATAGAAGCCATTATTCAATCCTATATTTTTTATGTTGAGTTTAATGGTTCATTAGAGTGCATTTACAAATAAAAGATTAGGTTTGTGTATCTATTGAAGTTAGTCTTAGATAACAAAGTCATTGATTCAAGTATGAATCTATCCCACATTGGTTGATTCTATATGAACTCCCATTATTCCGTCACATATATATAAAACATAATTACATTTTTTTTTATTTTAACTTTAATAAATATTTAGAATGGAAGCTATATCAATTAGTAATGTCGATGGATGTTTTTATAACACTTTTTACATAACTACTTTGTAAAAATAATATGTTCCTTCTTTTTACTTTGTAAATGTATTTTTTACACTCTAAACTTCGAGCTTTCTAAAATGTCACATTTTTCTGCTTTTTCCCTTTTTTTTTCTTCTTGACCGGCAAGACAATTATTAAAACTACCGAGAAGCTAGAAGATAACAAATTGGGTACCCAAACAAATTAAATCCACGAGTCCCAAGACAAGATACCAAGACTTTTGGCTCTATATATATATATATATATATATATATATATATATATATATATATATATATATATATGACACTAAACAGATAATGTCGATATGGTGGATAATCTATTGATACATGTTCAAATCCTAGCACTACTCAGCCCTTGTGCATGGCCATGGAGGTTCGTCTGCAGTGACTCCAAGATATGAGGCAAAGCCTCTTGTTTGCAGCGGGGGATTAGTCGGTGTGCGAAAGCTGGCCCGGAAACCCTTGTTAGGGAAGTTCCCTTTCCAAAAAAAATCATATTTTTCTAATATACTTCAAACAATAGCCTTTTAATATATACTCTTAAAAAAAGTTATATTTTGAAAGGTCAATATCATTTATAAATTTTTCCCGTGATAGTTAAAAGATTGTTTTTTTTTCTTTTTTAAATTAGTTGGATATGATATCATAAAAAATTATACAGATAACTGATGTATAGATTTGTGTCTTCCGTAACGTGCCGTGGAAGGTTTCTTTAAACTGAAAAAATTTGTTCGTGTGTGAGGATTAGAATAAAGAAGAAGGTGGGGTGTCTTTCTGCTTTAGCCCCCTATCAATTACTCTTCGTACATACTGACACTGAAACGACTAAACGAACACTGGTCCTTCTGTTCAATACAAACATATATTGCCATCATCCTTTTTCCCATGGAACTCTTGAAAAGTATTTGACTAAAACGCATCTTTTTTAATTACATGCATCTTTAGTTTTACCTTTTCAGAATCTGCATGTGACTGTCGCATATATGATATAGGACATGACTCAAGTTCTTTTTTGCTATTCTTTAGATTGTGTCCAGTTTGGATTCTAAATTCTGAGTATGAGGTGTTCTTTGGTCATAAGAGTCTATGGCTCTATACATTATACTCATTGTTTGAATGAAGCTATGTGCATAGTTTACAAATCTCGAAATATATAATTATATGATAAATTAAAATATATATGTTAACTTTCTATATATTGACGAATGCATGATATTGGGCATTAAATACATGAGACATACTCATACATACATGTGAAGTTCTAGATTATCTTCTAAAATATGAACATATAACAACTCCCAGACAATAACATAATGAATCATGCAACTATATATGGAAATGAATCATTTTAGATTTGCACATCCAACATGAATCTTGTTTTATATATAGTTGCTTGTTCTTTTTTGATATAATTAATATTTGGTTGATTGTTCAGATGTTTGTACATTTTCATCTGAAGAAGATTTAAGCGGAGGAGAGACAGATAGTACACTGATGAGCCAGGAGCTGAAAGACACACTCATACGTAAATTTGGAGGTCGTATAAGTTCCCTCAAACAAGAGTTTAATAAGAAGAAAAAGAAAGGAAAGCTTCCAAATGAGGCAAGACAAACATTACTTGATTGGTGGAATTCACATATTAAATGGCCTTACCCTACAGTAAGTATTTCCATTCCCATATATATACATCATCTTTCTACTACTTTTTCCTTCCTCCTTCATCACATTAATATTTTTTATCCATTAGAAAATTTATAGAATTTGCTATAATTGATATATTAATATGCAAGAGGAAAAAAATAGAGATTTGACCTCTTAACTTAAATAGTCAAAACTCTACCAAATTAAATGTTTTGTGCCCATTTTGTCCACATCAGTAAATTTGATCTAAAGTTTAAGTGCAAATTAAATACATAGCAATATTTTATATCACTGAACTAGGTTACAACCCGTGGGAACCACGGGTAAAGAATTTATAAAACATTTATATTATTAATAAGAGTTAAGTTTGTTTAAAACTTTTTGTATTGATTATTTAAAATTGGAGGACTGAATCGGTATCTATTTCAAAGGTATTAAATTAAATTTAAATAGAGATCATATACCATAAATACCATAAAAATCGGATATTAAATGCTGATTTATTTTGAAATTTAAATAGATATCATATACCATAAATACCATAAAATTAAATTGGATATTAAATGCTGATTTATTTTGACCTGGACATTATAGAAGATGAAATCAAAGAGGGGCAAAAACGGTATTTAACATTTGATGAAATTAGTGTTTTTGAAGGGACACGTGACAATTTACTTTCGTTTATTAGTTAGGGAGATTTGGTTACTGAACTTTCAAATTGGTACTAATTATGACAATATTTTAACACCGATTATTTTGGCCAAATTCTATAAAACCATCATGCATTTTTTTTGTTCAACAACCATTTCAAAAAAATCTCGCTGTAATATCAGTTCTTTTCTTTAGTAATGAACCGAAAAAAAAAAGAACAGGAAAAATATTTTGCTTGTTAAAATTTTTTTTAATTCAAAATTTTAATGGTTAAATCATATATATATATATATATATATATATATATATATATATTTTGAAATTGTGATTCTTTCTGGGAATTTAATGATTTTTTTAACCATTTATAGAATTAGGTGACTAAAAAACAAATGAAGTAAAATTGTGTTGCCATTATTTTACAATTGTCGCACCGTTTGGATTTTTTTTACAAAAGTCGCGACTTATACACACTCTAAACCACTTCAACATTCTACTGATATCACATATACACGGATCTTGAACCCTCATCTGAGTGTTAGGGGAAAGGCATGTTGGTATATTTTCAAAATCACATATACCTTGTAATTATAAATGTTAAGAGGTACATACATATAATTAGATGCAAGTATATTTAAAAAAAAAAAAAATAAACAAAATGTCTTTTTTAAATGGCTAAATACAAAAATATCAATGCATTTTCTTTTGTACATCTATTATAACATGCTATTTTTGTTTATTGCTTGAATAGCAATAGCATTGTACGTTTATTATTATTTTTTTTTCACTCATTAAGACGTTGTAGTTTTGAAAAATCTACTAAATCACTACAAGAAAATTTCGATTTAACTACGGAAAAATTCCGTAGCAAAAAGCTAAAATTCCGTAGCTAAACCTAAATAACTACGGAAGTTGCTACGGAATTTGCCAATAAGATTCCATAGTAAGATTTCTTGTAGCAAAATATTTAACTACGGAATGATAGTTCCGTAGCAATTTTGCTACGGCTGTTGCTACGACGTCTATCCGTAGCATTTCAACTACAACACACTTCCATCACAATTCCGTAACAATGAATTTGTAGCAAATTCCGTATCTATTTTGTTCCGTAGCAAATTCTATAGCCATTTGTTCCGTAACAAATTCCATAGTCATTTGTTCCGTAGCAAATTTTGTAGCAATTTGGTCCGTAGCAAATTGTGAGGCTATTTGTTCCGTAACAAATTTCGTAGCCATTAGTTTCATAGCAATATTTTCCATAACAATAGGTTCAGGTGCAAATTTAGTATGATAAAAAATTTCAACAAAATCCAATATTCCAATTATAATATTCATAAAAATATATAAAAATGTAGTAAATATAAATTTAATGGTTACATCACTTTTATAGATATATTACATCATCGAAAATTCTTCTACAAAATCGTCTAATCATCAATACTGAATATTAATAACAAATACAGTCACACAGTTTAGATTTGAACCACCATGAACACACAGACAGCCATATATGCTCAATCAAAATGGCAAAACCTGCAAAATCAAATTTACAATCAACTTGATTAAAATTCTATCTGTTGTACAAAATCCCAATTTGTTTTGCTTTTCGTTGTTTTATTGTAACCTGATGAAGATGAAAGAAATAGAACATAACTTTTTGTTTCCAAAACTAACAAACCATTAATAAACTTGTTTACTTATTATACAAATATTTATTTAGTTTTTTGTTAACTTACTTAGCCAAAATAAGATTATAACTTTTTCAATTAAGAAATAGCACAAGTTATCAACAGGAAAGTGGTTCACTTTTTCAATTACCTCATCAAGAATCCTCTGTTTTAAAACAAGGAAAAGCAAATTCAGATAAATTTATAAATAATAATCATAGTTTTAAGTAATGGGAAGAAAATTGATTCTATTTAGTTCTTACTCTTATGTTATCTTAGAACTGAGATGAAAGTTTCTTCGAGTAACTAGCACGAAACACAAAGCAATGAAAGTATGTTTTTATTTCTTGCATTTAAAAGGAGCACAAAGAAATACCTTTAAGCATTGCAGGATTAAGCTACCAACAACCCCTGAAAGAATTGTCTTTTTCCTCTTTGAAAAAAGAAGCAGGAATATAGCGAGAGAATGTCCACAACTCTTTATGAGGTAAAACCACAATGTTGTCAGATGACCTTAGTCTTCAAATAACTGCTGAAAAAACAAAGAAAAAGTTGACAAAGAAAAACAAATAAGCTTTATCTCAACAAAAGAAAAACAAAGAAAAAGTTAAAACAGTTCATGCCTTTAATTAATATTGCATACATAAAGACTATTTGAGTATGATAAATGACCATTTTACCCTTCACCAACTTAGCACATTATAACATAGATCAAAGGAATGGTACAAAGGGAAAAATGGTTGTCTAGATGCTATATAAGATGCTATATAGGGTACTTTGCTTGCTTAACCCACTAAGACATTCCATCCATCAAGTAAATATTGTTGTATACATAAAGACTGTTTGAATATGATAAATGACCATTTTGTCCGTTGCTGACTTTACCCATCAAGATTCAAGACCAATCAAGACATTATAATATTGTGAAGAAGAAGGAATAAAATCATGAAAATGAAAGACTTTGGAGAAAAAAGACCAAAAGGGTATCAGGAAGCATTCATTTCTTAAAGAAATGTGTATAAGTGTTAAAACACCCTGAATGTGAATGAAGTACAAGTTGTGAAGCAGTCCTTCCATGCAAATAACTTTCATGTTCTGTTCTGAATATAACATTCTCAGCCATGGAATCCCAGTTGCCCAGAAACTAACAGAAAACAATACAAATCTATTTGGTCAAATGAAATAACCATTTTGATTTCAATGAAGGTTGGTTTGGTTGACAAGAACATCCATGTTTTGGTCAAAGTTCTCTACTATTAACCAACGAAGAATGACATGTAGAAAAGTTGTAATGGTAAGTTATTAACTTATCATTTCAAGGTGATAAATACTTCAAAGTAAAAAAGGACAAAATTTCAATTACTTGGAAATCTTAAGTGTATCTTTTAAAAACATCGATTACTTCAACTCTCCAGATAAAAAGATTTCAACATTTTGTTTTCTGCATCTCTCCTCTTCTCCTTATTTAAATATAATACCTCATTTTTAGGCTGACCATTGTTAGTCTTCTCTATATTTTGTTTCTTATGGAGCTTTTCTTGATATCCCAGGCCTATTCTTTATTAACTTTTAGGATGACCTATAAAAAAAAGTAAAAAAATCAGTATGTTCCTAGTCATTCTCTTGTCCATATGTTACATTTTCCATAAAAACTTTGATTTAAGAAACCTAATAGTATCTGGTATCTCATGAATTACTATACAACAGTTATATTGTCTATAAACAGAAACATTTTAAGCATATATACACTCAGAATCAATACAAAATCAACAAAATTACCCCAAAATAGTCAAAAGGAAACTGTTACAAACCATCAAGCAAAAAAGAAATGAAATTATCGGCTAATAAATACACTATTAATGCTAAAGTCTCCAATAAATCAGCAAACATTATAAAATTGATCAAATCATATTTACCGGCCCTAAAACGAACAAAGACTTGTCACTAACTACCAAACAAGTGGATGTATAATGATAATGCTATAATTCAATATATATATAACGAGAATATAAAGGCCATAAAGAAACTTCTTAGATCATGTCAGATTGTCAATCACTGCATCAAAATCCACAATTCGCATCAAATGCAATAAAATTGATCAATCAAATTCACCAATAAAAAATTGAATCAAACTGTGTGTATGGATTGATAGAGTCAACAGAAGTACAGAACATTAACTTACCTTAGATTCAATGGAGAAATCACTAGATCCTTCAGGTCATTAGATGATATAAAGAGAAAATGGAGCAAACAAAACAGAGAATAATGTTACCTGGTAGGGATGAAGACGATCAAGAAAAATCTACCGATTGACGGAGCAGGCGACGAACGACAAAGCAAACGAGAGTGAGAAGAGCTCCCTATAGAGTGAAGTCCGATCGATAATGGCGTAAGTGGAGATCGGGGGAAAATGAGGAACGAGGAATGAGGAATTAAGTTGAGAGAGGGAGAGATGCGATCAACGACAGGTCATGCCATCGATAATTTTCAACAGTTTGATCGGGATACCTATGATTTTCCATCAAAGGTAGTGTTTGCAGAATTTTTCATCAAAGGCGGCAAAAAAAATCATTCGAGCAGCATATGGCTTGCGACCTAACTAAGTGACTTGCAGACCGACATGATGGGGATACCGAGATGCGATCAACGACCGACGTGATGGGGAGGTTGAGCAACGACGACAAGTTCAGAGGGGGAGAGATGCTAAGATGCGATCGACGACAGGTCAAGGTTTTAACCGGATACCTCTCGACAGGTCAAGGTTTGAACCGAATACCTCTGGTTTGGGGAGGAAGTATATTTGGTTTATGTGGATTTACTAATTTGCCCTTAATAAATCACTGAAACACAATTGTTTCCATCTTTTTTTTTAACAAAAAGACCAAAATAAAACAAGTTAATTCTTTTTTTTTTTTAGAAAAAAAGCTGAGGGTAAATAAATTTTGATTTAGTGGTAATAATTTCCAAAGCCTCAAAACATAGGGATAATATTATTATAAGAAAATTAGCACTGTATGTCATCAAAGTCTAAAATTGCAACTAAAATGTAGAAATTTCATTATAATTAAATTTTCAAAACAATTAAAAATAATATTTTATTGTTTTTGTTGAGTTTTCAAAGATAATCGAGTATTTTTAAAAGATTTTTTTCAATAATCTTTTATATTTTGCTACGGAAACATATTTCGTAACTAATTGACTACGGAATTTTCCATAGCCAAATACCTACAGATTTTAATTTCATAGCTATTTTGTAAATTCACCTTTTCGTAACAAGTTCCATAGTAGATTAGCTACAAAATTTTATTTTGTAGTTAATTTTCCTAGCAAAATAGCTACGGATCTCAATTCCATAACTAACTAGCTACGTATTTTTATTTCGTAGCCAATTATGTAGCCAAGTAGCTACATACATGGATTCTGTAATAAGTTCTGTAGAGAACTAACTGCAACCAAAAAACTTGTAACATTATTTGTAGTAAACTAGCTACGGATTTTAATTTCGTAGCAATTATTCAAGATTTAGCTACGGAATACAATTTCGTAGCCATTTCCGTAGCAAATTAGTTACAACCAACCATTTTGTAGCATATTTCGTAGTAAAATAACAATGAATTTAGATTACGTAACAACTTTACGTAACTATTTAAGATTTAGCTACATAATGCAATTCCGTAACCATTTATGTAGCAAAATAGCTACGACAAGTTGTTCGTAGCATATTCCGTAGTAAAATAGCAACGAATTTTGATTCCATAGCAACTTTCCGTAGCTATTCAGGATTTTTTTTGTAGTGAATTGTAGCCTTGAGCTCTTACTTATTTTTTTTATTGCCGGTTTCAAAAAAAAGTAAGACATTATTGCTTTGACCATTTTAGTTATCATCATAAACTGCTTTGTATTTGGATATATTAATGCTATAGTAGAGTCTAACTGGTTTACCCGAATTTTGTTATATAACTTTTCTATCAAAATAATAATAATAATAAATGTAAATGTAGGAAGGTGATAAGATATCCTTGGCGGAAACAACAGGATTAGATCCGAAGCAAATCAACAACTGGTTTATAAATCAAAGGAAGCGGCATTGGAAACCATCGGAAAGCATGCAGTTGGCTGCAATGGGTGGTCTTGCTGGGCAGTATACTTAATTATGACCGATTCAAATAGGCTTCTTAATTGCATGCTCTCATGCATGTATATATATTATTAACTAAACAAAGTTGTATTTAAAAACACCAATAATTCAATTATTACGATACAAAATATTGTCTAAATTTCTAAAATGCGTAATTAATTGTCATATACATGTTTGGATGCTGACGGTTTGACCATATGAGATCATTGTGAAAGTTTTATGTTTTGTTAAAGATAAATAAAGGAAATAGCAATATACTTTTATTTATTTTATGTATTATAACAGTACTTCTTCTTAGTTATGTCCATTACATTAGTATCGTGTTTGCTATTGAAGTTCTTATTAATGGGATTTTCTAATATGTGCCGTAAGGACACATATAAAAAAAATTAATTGAATTATTAATTATGCGAAATATTATTATTTATAAACATTAATTATAAATAATATTCTTTATAATTAATGTATTTTACATTTAACTATGGTAATATTACACATAATTAATGTTTATCACATATAATTATTGTAATATTTCTTATAATTAGCTATTCAATGGCACATATTAGAAAATCTCTTTATTAATTGAATGGCGTCCCTACATATCAAGGGAGAGTAAGAAAAGAAATGGGTTTATAGGTCAAAGTTTCCTTGAAATATTTGAAATGTATTTTGAAGGTAATATTTATTTTCCATCTATCTACTTATATTATTCTAATAAACAAAACATAAAAATGATATGTGTTATTTTTCTAGACTCATTTTTTACGCAAGGCATCCTTATAATTTATAAACCTTCTTCTGGAATTCAAAATTCATTTTCCAATCCATTCAGTTAACTTATAAGTTATAAACCTTCTCTACTTATGATTGCAAAATTCATTTTCCAATCCATTCTATTAAGGCATCAAATTAGTTCTTATATAAAGTCAAATCTTATATCTTATACTATATTATAAAACATATTATTTATATCTTGAATTTTAAGAAGTATAAGTAATTAAGAAATTTAATTTGAAACAAAATGAAAATTTTGAAGATTTAAACTAAGTTAAGTAATTAAGAAATTCAATTTGATGTAACATAAAAATTTTAAAATATTAAACTCATGTATATAAATTAACACCAAAATATAAAAATAGTTTATATGGTTTACCAAAGGTCACAAACTTAGTCCCTGTTAATTTTCTTTGACAAACATGGTCCCTATGGTTTCCAATACTTACGTGAATGACACTTTTTGCTGACGCCGTTACTTTTCATCCGTTAGTGTGAGAGTATTTTGATATTTCAAGTAGTAGAGACTAAGTTTGTGATTATGTGTAAACTATAGGAACCATTTATGTCATTTTCCCATATTTTATGTTTATGGGTTTGTGGTTTTTCCACCCATTTACTTTTAAAAATATTACTTTGAACTTTGAAAAATATTACTTTCACTCCTCTATTTTCTAAATTTCCGTGTTTAACCTTGTATTATATATAATTTGATTTTTATTAATAACTTTCGTTCGTTAACCTAAAAAAACTATTTTTACGTGTTTATTTTTAGGGTATATTACACGGATGGTCCCTATGGTTTGGGGTAGTTGTGACAACCCGAAACTTCTACCTTGTACCTTAGTCAAATTCTATCAATGTTAAACTCATTTCAACTATCTTTTAGCATTGTTTTGAGCCTGTTTGGATGATCTAAAGCCTTGTACAACCAAAGTTTGAATTATGGATGGGTTGACTTATGATTTGGGGTTGCAAAAAGGCCAAACACTCCATCAAAGGGAGTGTGTGGCCACACACATGAGTGTGTGGCCGCACACCCGAGTGTATGGCCGCACACATGAGTGTGTGGCCGCACACCCGAGTGTATGGCCGCACACCCATTATCTATATATAGATGAGGCTCATTTTCACTTCATTTCCCCTCTCCTCAAACGCACACACACCTCTCTCTCTCTCAAGCTTCTTCAACCACAAACCCTCCCAAGGCTTCAAAAACGTGAGTAATCCATCCCTTAGCTTGTTATACTTGAAGAACCACTTCATCTAAGCCTTGATTCATCAAATTTCATCATGTTCTTCATCTCTTGAAGGAGTGCGGCCGCACACCTTCATAAGGTTGGCCGCACACTCCTAAAAGACCCTCCAAAGTGAGAGTTGGACTTCCATATTCGAGTTGGACATGAACATAGCCTTGCTACACCCTAGATTTGACGTTTTGGACATCTTTGTGTGGGGTGTACGACCGCACACACCTGTGTACGGCCGCACACACCCTTGTGCGGCAGCACACTCCAAGTGTGCGACCACACACTCATTCTAGGACCATAAACCCACCTCTAGGACCCCTATCTTACACTACAATTGAGTATAGACCTTGAACACTTCGTGGATGTGAGTATGGACCTTGAGAACACTTCAAAGACACCTCATTTCATGAGTGTATGGCCGCACACCCTTTGGGCCGCACACTCATGGCCGCACACACACTGTAGGTGGCCATACACCCCCTACACTCAATCCTACAAGGTCCTATCACTTGGTGCAAATAGTTTCAAGTCCCTAGAGTGGTTTTCCATCACATTTAGTGGTGAAATACCTCCATTTGACTCCTTTATGTGTCATTGCATGTAATTTAGGATCAAATCGTGTTCAAGGCTTCACTTGAACATCCAGCGTTTCGTGTTGATCCTTCATTCAAATCACCCGAGGTGAGTTCATACCCCTACATTTTCCGTATTTTTAATGTTTTCAGGGGGGGAATACAAGCTAAACATAAATGTTTTCAAAACTCATGCAATTCTCATACTTTAACCCTTTTTTACTGTGTTGAGCATAAGGGACGTTTTCATTAAACTTGCATGGTTTTCCGAACTCGCTATTCACTACGTTTTACATGCAAACTATAATCGGTATAGTTTGGGATTTTCTAAACATAACAAGTATAGAAACTTTCACTACTAAACGTATGCACTAAGACAGAAATAGTTTACAGTTTGCATCACTACTTTATCACGTTTTCATAACTGTAACTATCACTACAAACGGTATACATTCGGATTTTCACTACGGTAGAACGCTACTACACTACATGTAAACTAGATTGTACGATACTGTGATGCGCTACTTCACTACTGTACCCTTAGGTGTACAGGGATAAATCCTATCATAGTATAACCAGAGTCTCCTGGAGGGAGAGCATGAGATTTGTGAATAGATCTATTCGGGAATGACAATCCCACACCCGAACTGCTAGCTACAGTTGGGCAGGCATGCCCAGGGTGACAAATGTCATTTAAATCGACGCCTGAAGAACGTTGGAAAGGTCTCTAGTCATATCAAGCATGGTTATACGACTCACATTATGTATAAATCACCTTTAGTTTACAACCTGTCACTCTTCAACAGTTTTATTTATACTAAATAGAACTAACACACAATAATGGCTGAAGCCAGGGTTTTCAACCTAAAATCGATTATGCAAAGATTTCATATACGATATACTTATACTTCATGATTAGCCTTAGCTAGTCACATGAAGTAGTATTTTCACATATCACTACCGTTTTCAGTAACGAGTATTCATGGTTTATATGGACCGGATAACGCTACATTTTCACTTAAAGAAAATATCGGATTTTCTTGACGCTATACAAAATACTTTTTACGAGCTCATCAACAAGTTTTCATTACAAACAACTGCTTATGAACTCACCAACTTTATGCTGATATTTTCAAACTGCTTGTATTCTCAGGAAATCATTAGACAGGTACCTGCTGGATTTTTGAGAAGCTGGAGCAATAAGAGTCTTATGTTTATAATTTATATATACTCTCTGATGTAATTCAAACAAGTTTTCAAATTGATGTAAATATTTTCATATATGTATACACTGCGATGGTTGTGTTGCTATGGTTGCTATTATACATTGGTTGTGATGCTATACATGACGTCCTCCGCCCCGGAACGTTTCCGCCATCGGTTTCGGGGTGTGACAGATTGGTATCAGAGCCCTTGTTTATGGCGAACTAGTATACCGAACCTTACGTGGTATACAACTATAAACACTAAGGGTCCTAAGTGCTCTACACTAAAAGTATACTTTCAAAAATATAAGTATTTTTATAAAAAGTATACGAGCATGCATACATAACAGAATTCATGTCACAAGTAGAACGAAACAAAAGTATTTGGATGCTGGGACGCTACGGTTAAACTTGGGCAGTTATGTAATCATGTCTAGGGTGAATATAGCCTGATCAACTATATTCAGTCGAGACATGGCCAACATGTGCTTGGGAGTGACTGCGTTGTTACAGCAGGCCTAAAACTTACCAAAAATCATCTCACATAAAATACTATAGGAGTATTTTAGCTAGAGCCGAACTCAGTATACAGAATCACTCTAAGTATTGCTACCTCTTCTTTCTTAAGCGATAACTTACTTGCATTAGTAATCTTCCTGTGCTTATCGTTTGGTAAAACTCTTTTATTATCAGGATAAGATATATCTTGTTTCATATATCTTGAGGACTTACCACCCTCTTCTTCCTGGTTGTTTCTAGAAGAAGATGCCTCCCCGACTAAGACCCATCAGAAGAAACGACAACACCCCGCCACCACCACCCCCTCAGTTCGACCTCGTCATGTTTCAGGCAGCAGTTACAGCCGCCGTGACTGCAGCAATGGCACAAGTGAATGCTGGTGGGGCTGGAGGTGGAACCGACCCACAGAGACAAGATGGAAGTCAGGGACATCAAAATGAGTGTTCCTACAAGGACTTCATGACTGCAAAACCCAAGTCCTTCAACGGAAACGGAGGAGTCATCGCTCTGACTCGATGGTTCGAGAAGATCGAATCCATCTTCGAAATCTGCGCCTGTCCTGAAGCCAACAAGGTGAAGTTCGCCGCCTGCACCTTCACTGACAGAGCTTTGACCTGGTGGAATGGTCGAGTCAAAACCCTAACCCTGCCAGTGGCTAATGCCATGGGTTGGGAAAGACTGAAGGAACTCATG